GCTGTGAGGCCAGGCTGGGAGAGTTGGGGGTGTTCAGCCTGGAGAAGAGAAGGCTGCAGGGAAACCTGATTACGGCCTTTCAATACCTAAAGGGGGCCCAGAGGAAAGATGGGGACAAGCTTTTCAGTAGGGCCAGCTGTGACAGGACAAGGGGTAACGGTTTCAAACTAAACCAGGGTAGGTTTAGACTAGATTTAAGGAAGAAATTCTTTCCAGTGAGGGTGGTGAAACACTGGCACAGGTTGCCCAGAGAGGTGGTGGAGGCCCCATCCCTGGAAGGATTCCAGGCCAGGTTGGCCGGGGCTCTGAGCAACCTGATCTAGTTAGCGGTGTCCCTGCTCACTGCAGGGGGTTGGACTAGATGACCTCTAGGGGTCCCTTCCAACCCAAAACATTCTATGATTCTATGAATGCACTGCATGCTGACGTCCGCACGTGGGGTGGTGCAGAAAGCAGGCGCGATTGGGCCGCTCCAAATAACCTCTGCAGACCTCGCTCGTGGCCTCTACCTGCAAGAGACTGCAATACTTACCCAGGCGCTGCTATTTGCCTTAAAAATGGACACACAGAGAGCTTTTCAGAGGACCCGTTGCCCCACCTTTGCCTTTTCCCTGCCCTGTACCCTGCCTATGGTCACGGAGCAGGACAGAGGCAGCAATGGTTGTGCTGTGGAACGGAGGGGACTCCTTGCATGGGTCATCCCTCAGGTCTGCCCGGTTGTGGACACTGCAGGTGCTGGCGGGAGCAGTCCCAGCTCCAAAACACATGGTCACATTTTACAGGTGGAGGAAGAGGGTGATACAGTGAAGTGCTCCAGTAAGTCGTGCGTCTTCTCCTCACCTAATGATTTGCAGATCCCTGCTGTCGAGCCCAGTCCTCGGCAGATGTGCTCTGCCAGGTCTCCCCGTGGTGGTTTCAGTGGCTGCTGTCTCTGGCTGCAGGGCTGATCACATTGGGTCACATTTTCGGCCTGATGCAGAGACATGAAGGCCTGGTCAGGGGATCCCACACCTCCAGGACACGACCAGTGTCCCTCTGCCCTGGGCTCTGCCACCCACCAGATTCACACAATGCTCCTCGTTCCTGGATTAGACAACGTGGCATTTGCTCCCTCTCTCTGACCACCCAGGATCCCACGGATCCCCATCACGCCCCTGCCGCTGCTATTCTCTTCCAGCCTGGAGAAGCTCGGGCTGTGCCCTCACTCCAGCTTTCTGGTCAGCCCTGTCCCCTCCCTGGACATTCTCCTTCCGAGCAACATTTTACAGTTTTAAGTGAGCAGTTACCACCACTATTAGCAGCCCCACCCTGAGGCCCTGGGTGTGAGGTGGCCGCATCCCCATGCTGCCCACAACACAGCACACCACACCGAGCCAAAGCAAGCCATGCAGCGCTGCCAAAGACCAGCATGGGCAATCAGAGCATCTTCCCTGCCTCTCTCCTGCTTATTTGTGTGTGTCCTCAGTGCCCACAGGGACAGGTGGGACACCATCACTGTGAGATCTGGCCAGGATACCAGCATGCAGACACCCCCAGGCAGGACAAGACATCTTTAATGCTCCAAAGGACTTGGCAGGAGGAGATGCAGCAACATGCAGAAGGGACCCAGCCCAGGCAGAGCTGCACTGAGTTTGCAGCGCAATGCTGCGTCATTCCCACACCTCTTGCCTGCTCAGCTAGCCAAGGGCACGGGGCACGGGACCAGAAGGTGTCTGACCCCATCAGGCACACAGCTGGATGTAGGTTTCTTGTGACCAGAGCCAAAAGTATGGGAAGACCTTCTCGGTGAAGGAGGCATTGAACTGCAAGATCTGCGTCATGTTCTCCGCGTTGTAGAAGGTCACTTGGCCCGCTTCGTAGTCCAGGTGGACTCTGATCCGCCGGAGCTGCTCCTTCAGTGTCAGCGGGGCGGGGGGCATGTGGAGCGCCGTGTACTGGTGATCCCAGTCCAGCCTCAGGGCCCAGATCTTCCCCATGGCCATGGTGAGCGAGTCCTTCCTTCGCACGGACTCCACAGCCACCCCCACGGCCCAGCTGTCCCCATCCCCCACCTCCAGCTCCCAGTAATGCCTCCCGGCCGTGAACCCCTGGGAGCCCAGGACGCTGGGGCTGCCCGTGAATCTCTTGGGGGTGTCGAAGAGGTTTTGCTGTCCATCTGCCAGCCGCACGGTTTTGCAGTCTTTCGAGAGGATCAGATATGGGCTTGCCGTCTCCGGGTCCAGTATCACCTTCACTAATGCACGACAGAAAGAAACGTCAGTCCATTGCCCGCTGAGGAGCAAACCAGAACCACTTCCACGTGTCCTGTGAGCACAGCGGGCACTCGTCCCCCACGAGCACACACTCCACTCACTGCCCTCCACACCAGGACCCACGGGCAAAGCAATGCTCCCTGAAGCAGGGCTGAGCCAGGCAGCGTCCCCACACACAGGGGACAGACCCAATGGACTTTGCTAAACCCGCTTTGCTAAACCTCTGCTGGATATTGCTGGGTCTAAGTGTGATGGGGCTGCAACCAGGCTGGGCACGGGGGAGCGAGGAAGCATCGCCTGCGAGGCAGCAGTGGTGCCAGGCCAGACCCTGCTCCAGTGATGAGGGGGACGAACGCTCACCGGAGGGAAAAGCAGCTCCTAACCCCGCTCCACCAAGTAACCAGGCATTCTCACGTTCATGTGGGATGTTCTGCTGCCATCCCGTGGCCGTCCCACAAGGCCACAGGGATGTCACCGTGCAGTGCCCCCACCCCAGGCTCTCTGCTAAACCCACTCCTCCCGGGCCCACAGGGGAAAACTGAGGCATGCCCATCCCGTGCATCAGGTCCCTCATCCTGAAAACTGAAGAGGGCAGAGACCAGCCTCAGTGCAAACAGCTCCAGCCAGCCCCGAGCCCTGTGAAGCTGCCAGGACCGTGTGAACTCCGAGCACCTGCAAAGGCATTTCCAATCTGAGCCTAAAAGCCAGCTCAATACGTGTGCGGCCCCTTTGCTTAACTCGTCACAGTCTTACGCATCGCGGCGTAAGAATAAGTCTCCAGTGATAGGGAAGCCAAGGGCCTCGCGCTGCCCCGGCCCTCCTTTGGTGTTAGAGGACACTGTCACTGGGCGTTGCCTGGCATGGGGACAGACCTGGATTTTTACAGCAGGCCTAGTCAAAAGGAAGGGACCCGGTTTTAGACAGACCCTGGATTTAGACATTGTGGTGTGAGCCCATCTCTGCCCAACGGATGTAAGGAAACTCATTCTGGAAAGCTTTTCTCCCTCATTTGTGCCCATCAGCTCCAGAAACTCACCCCTTTCTCTGTCCACCTCGCTCATCAGGTTCACTAGAGGAAGGAAAGGAAGATGTGTGAGTCTCTCCCCTCTTGTGGCACCTTTCCTGCCCCCCATCGGGACAGCAAGCCAGACGTGGAGCCCGCTCCCCAGCTCCCACAGCCCTGGGCTCCAGCAAAGCCCACCTCGGAGATGGGTCCCGCCTGGAACAGGCGTGTTTTGCTCCCAAGCCCCAGGCAGAGGCCGTGGGCGGCGAGGATCTCCCCCTGCGGCTGAGCCCAGGGGAAGCAGTGTGGGGACAGCAGTGCCCGGAGCCCTGGGACAGCAGCACAGCCACCTGGGGCCCAGACACCGGCTACACAGCAAAGCATCGCTTGCCCTTTCTTTGCTTTACCTTTGAATTTGGCCACCGCACCCATGACCAGCTGGCTCATCTCAGAGAGGCTCTTCACGGTCCTCTGCAGCTCTGGGGAAACCGGCTCCGGGATTGGGGTCTTCGCCACCTCGCAGCTGAGAGGGAAACAACGCAGAGAGGAGCTCTGACCCCAGCAGCCAGCCAGCACCCGGGGGCAGGAGGGAAATGGGGGGACGATCCCCTACAGCAACAGAACTCAGGGGAGCTGCGTCCCAGCTATTGGCATGGGAACCCCGTCTTTAACAGGGGTGCAATGACCTCTGGCTTCAGATAATGTCCCATTAAATCCCAACTACTCAGCAGAGCAAAGCCACCTCCCCCCGGCTGCTGCTGCTCAGCCGCCTGCAGCGTTTCCAAACCTCTGCCGAAAAAGTCGCGCGGGAGGAGAGCGATGCTGAGCCTGTTTCGTACCTGCTCAGGGTTTTGCTGACATCCTGGAAGAGAGAAAACACCAGGTCAGCTCTGGCATTGCCGAGAAGGACCACGGTCCCCAGGGCGGTGAGTTACAGCCGCTCCCCTGCTGCGTGAGGCAGGGTGTTGGGGACTGGGGGGTCACACCACTCTCCTGGGGACTCTCCGGTGACTGGCTCACCGAACCCTTGCTCATGCTGCAGGCCCAGACCCACACCAGCCA